TCATCAACAGGACGTCCCATCAACGGTCCATCCTGGGGAGAAGGCAAAGCGGACGCCAGGTCCAGCAGCCGGGCGTTTATGTCAGACAACTGCGCCATCCAGTGAATCGGGGGAACCTCGTGCTGCTGCAGCGGCGACAAGTCAGCGTCGTGGCGGAGCGTGATCTGTCTGGGCCTAGGTCTACTCCTCTGCTTCGACTGCGTGCGTGACGCGCGCTTGTCAGAGGTGCTGCTGTGCTCAGGTGCACAGCTCAGGGGCACGATGTGCTGCTGGTGAAGGGCGTCACGCTCTGGTGCAACTTCACCCGGCGGCTGGTGATAAGAGTGTTCAGGTGGCTGGTGGTGGCGGTAGAGAGGTGCGGGTTCCCAGAACACAGGACGAGTTCCGGGGAACTCGGAGTGAGATAAATACTGAGGGTTTGTGAAGAAGGCGAGTTGCTGGTCGAATGTGAAGGCAAAGTCGGTGCTGTCGACTACGGGATCGGGTGAGACAGGGACAGGGACGGACACGGGGAGGATATGACTCTTAGACGTCAGGCTGAGGCTGTTTTCTGTGTCTGTATGTGTATGGGTATGTGTATTGGTATTGTTATTGGGTATTATTGACACCGTTGCTTCTCCTTGACTCGGCTGTGAGTCGGTTGCATCCAAGACAGAAGAAATAAGAGGGTAATAAAGCAGGAGGAGGGAGGGCACGTACCCGCGTCGGGTGAGACAAGACTCGGACCCTCCTGACCATCTGTCCGTCGTCGTTTTGGCGAGCGGCGTCCACTCGAAGCAGTAAGAGAAGAAGAAGTCCCGTTATCAACAAACTGCTGCTGCTGACTCTCCGCAGGCTGCTGCTGGTTCTTCCTATACCGTAGCGACGGACTAGACTTGCACTCCGTCTTGAGTCTGACGCACCGCTCGCACGCCTCGTCGTTATATCGTTTGCAGCTGAGTTTCTGTGCGTGACAGCGATCGCAAGCTTTCCGATGGACCGTCTCTGCCATGACATCGACTTTTCGAAAGGGCGACAAAGAAATAAGGGGGACAAAGATGGGCGGTTTATAGAAAGAAGGAGAGAAGAATGAGTGATGCTGTATTTTGTTTTTGGTGGCACAGTAACGGCTCTTCTCACACTTTGTGAATTAGGAGAAGGAGATGGAGGGAAAAAGAGGCTCATGCATGGACTCGCCTAAAGAGCGTGTCGTGCTGCATCGAGGATCCTGTATCTTTTGCCAGTGAGGCGGTTCCGATGCTGTCGGTATCCTCGCCGTGAGACCTTGTCAGGGGTATCCGATCCAATAGATCGGCGTCGATGAGCAAGATGAGGCAGATGGGAATCTGCTATGTATGTCTCGACCTCATGTTTTGAGATATCATTGAGCGTAAGATACTGGATTCATTACTATGAATCAAGCATTCATATCAAGTCAGAATCAACTCTGTTTCTCATTACCATCAAAATCTCTCGTCAATCTCAACAAGCGGTGGCGTCCCTTCACTTTTCTCCAATGTATCACAACAGCACGCCTTGTCCACCTCGACCATGTGGTGTAATATGAGGCGCGTCTTTCCCTGCTAGCCCTGTCCTTACAGAAAGCCTCGTTTGGGTCTTTCTTTTTTCTTCACCGCAGATTTGAGAAAGAGGCTTGATTGATATATCGGTTCGACGTTGTGCTTCATTGGAGGGTAGTTCGGCGAGCTGCAGTTGCGTGGAGGCGAAGACGACGAAAGCGATTTATTATTGAGCTGAGTCAAATATTGCAATTGTAGTCCAGTCGTTGGTCTATCTGAGACCGGTATTCTTCTCTGATTGAGATATTCGTATAAGTTCTACACTGCATTGTCCTCTACTCCCTAATATCAACCTGCATACGACCACGCCACCTCCCATGATCACTTCTCATGACATTTCCCATCATATCACCTCAGATCATCCCCATTCTCCACCCATAACTAATACGTAATACCTCCCAACTCAATCTCGATCGGTTAATCATCCGATCTCATCCCCACAGACAAGGGTATCAATATTTACTTTTTTCCCCATCATCGTTTAAAGTGACTGCATACAACGTCGTCCACAGACAGGCGAGACATTGGACGGTGGCGTCCAGTTGTAACTCAAGCCTTGCCTGGGAAGAAAAAACACACACATGTTGTTGCTATTGTCTCTCGTTACTTTTACTCGTGGCTCGTCTCACTGTACTACATGTGATACTGATACGTCGGCTATTTACCAAGACACACTCTCACGTTCTTCACTTTTCATATTATTGAGCTAGAAGCTAAGATGGGTTGAATGATTCTTTTTGTTTTGAGGGTGGTATCTAGTATCTAGTATATGCACTCTTTCTTTAATCTGAGCTGAGCAAACAAAACACACCGCTGCAAAAAGCACAGCAGATCCTCAACGCCCTCGACATGCCAACAATAAACCGATTAAATACAAGGAAATCCATCATATGCAGCGCATCACTTTTTAAATATCACCAGTCTTGAAGAGCTCAAGGTGCTGGCGCTCACGGGGAACACCATTCTCCTCGAGGAATGCCCTGACATTGACCATCCAGTCCTCAGGACCGCAGATGTAGTACTCAGCATCAGCGTTGTCAAGCTGGAGAAGCTGATCCTTCTGAAGCTTGGCAAGGTCGATCTCGCCCTTGAAATCGTACTGGTCACCCTCCTTGACATCCTCAAGGAAGATCTTGGCGGTGATGTTCTCGTGCTTCTTAGCAGAGTCGAGAACATGGGGAACGAAGCAGGTAGAACCGGAGTAGCGAGCACCGTGGATCCAGGTGATGGGTCGCGAGGCGGTCGGGGACTGGAGAACTGAGTCGAGGATGGAGACGAGAGGAGTGGCGCCAACACCAGCGGAGAGGAGAACAAGAGGCTTCTTGGCAGCAGAAGTGTCGGCAGGGTCGAGGGAGAACTCTCCAGCAGGAGGGCTCAACTCAACCACGTCACCGACGTTGTAGCGGTTGTGAAGTCTGGTGGAGAGAAGACCAGCAATCTTGCCAGCAGCGAGATCCTCAACAGCAGGCTCCTCGGTAGGACCCTGAAGCTTGACACTGATGCGGTAGTGGTTGGTACCAGGTGCCTCACTCAGACTGAACTGACGGCTCTGAAGAAGACCATCAAGCTCAGGGATGGGAATCTGCACGCTGACGTATTGTCCGGGGAGGAACTTGGGCAGAGGCTTGCCGTCAGTAGGCTCAAGGTAGTAGCTAGTGACAGAGTCGTTCTCAGCCTCCTTCTTGACAATCTTGAACTTGCGCCACGAGTTCCATTCACCAGCAGCCTCATACATCTGACCCTCGCGCTGGATGAAGATATCAGCGAGCTGTCCATAAGCAGCAACCCAAGCGTCCTTGATCTCATTCGTCAAAGCAGAACCGAGAACTTCGCCAATGGCACCGATGAGATGTGTGCCAACGATGGGGTAGTGCTCTGGCTTGATGAAGAGAGAAACGTGCTTGTGAGCAATACGCTCAACGGCGTGGGAAAGCTTGCCAAGGTCGTCGATATATGTGGCATAGGCGAGGACAGAGTTGGCGAGAGCAGCTTGTTGAGCTCCGGTCTGCTGGTTTCGCAGAGAGAAGTAGTTCTTGAGCTCAGGATGGGCGCCGAGCATGTTACGGTAGAAAGTAGTGGTGATAGTCTTGCCATGCTCCTTTAGGATGGGAGCAGTTGACTTCACAATTGCTACTTGTGCTGCGGTGAGAGCCATTGTGAACTGTTTGTTTGGCGTTGAAGAGATGTGAGGAGGAGTTGAGAGGTTGTAGTGTTGATATACTAGATCATGCCGAGAATAATGTCGTCAAACTGGCCAATCTTCAGACTCTTTATATACCAGACCGGAGAACCAGTCATGGCGCGGAGAAAGAACATTACGCTCTTCATGACTCTCAAGGCCAAGCATCATGCCATGCGAAAAGAATAGCTCATGGACCCGAATACAGCGCCGCTCGCCGTGTGGGTTCCTGGATCACCGACCGATCTTGATAGTGGTCTGATGGTTCTGGTTAGAGCATCTCCGCGGGGTGAGCCGCACGTCACCGGGATTGGCGCTAGAGCTTCTTTTTTTGGATACCGTTTTTGATGTTACTTACTGAATTTGTTAATATGTTTCGTCGGATCCAGACTGATGGAAATGCAGGGCCCAACTATATCCCCAGGCTTGATGTTCCTTCATGCTAATGCCCCGCCGTCTTGCGTGTAAGTTTGGGAGAGACAGGGTAGAGCAGAGACGATCAAATACCCTTGTGCCATGTTTTTTGCAGAGTTGCATTGAGCTGTCTGACAGTCAATTGCTCAAAAAGGTCAGTTATTTCTCGCCATAAGGCCTCAATTGCTCAGTAAAAACTCTTGCATTTCACGGAGATGCGGAAATACTCAGCTCTTGACCTTAAATTTTTATGCCACGAGCCTGGGACATTGAAACCTGTGACAAAGAGTGGGCTGACACCTGTAAATAAGCTTCGGATCACCCCGGGTTCTCGAAGATAGATCGGAACGGCTCTTGCGGCTGCAACGGGTCGAGACTGTAAATTCCTAGAATCGACAAAAAACATCTGACTTTTGTCGTTAATTCAAAGTCGCATTCGCAGGGGGCGGAATACCACCGCGCGAATCATTGCTGCAAGATTGATAATCACCACCTGGGAATACTGCCTTGACAGCTGGATCTTGGTGGAGTGACACGTAAAGCTTCCTCGATTTGTCTCTCCTTGTGACTTGTAAGGCATGTCAGAGCCTGTCTATTCCATCCCACGTCATGACCTTGATGCATATCTTGGCATGAAAGCTGAAAAAGGGTTGTTCAGACAAAGGAACTATTCCGCCCTGCTTGACAATTGCTCGTCTCTCGTTGGTCAATTGATCGGCTCAATTCATCCCTCACTCATGATACCCACTGCGACGGCACAACCCACAAACATGTCGGCTCTACTGCAACAACTCCACCATGATGCCAAGCAGGGCTCATAAATCTTTTTTCTCATGGAAATTCCCATCGGCCGCGTGGCCTAATGGCTAAGGCGCTAGATTTCGGTTCCAGATCTCCCAAATTCTCTAGAGATTCCAGGTAGGTTCTCATTCAAATGAGCTTGTCCGCGTCCAGGCACTAACATCTCGAAAAGGTTCGACTCCTGGCGTGGTCGTATGATCTGATCAATTTCACATTTTTGCTCAGCTTTTAATATTGGCTTCTTGCATTAGCTCTGAACATCACTGCCTTCTTGGATTCAGCTGATAAATGCGTTGGGTATTATTGTCTGAGTTGTCTAATCGGTCAATTCACTGTCAACCGGCAAACATCTTCCGTGAAGGCGGATGCGTCGGTTGTTCTTTTCTGCAACCGATGGGAACGCCGTAACTAACGTCAAAGAACGATGAGATCCCGTCATCGCGGCCGCGTGGCTTTGGGTCGAGGTTATGCCTTGCGAGGTCTACGATTCCTCCAATAACTATCAGCGGGATGTTGTACTGTCTCGATTGAACGGCATCCGGGGTGCCAATGGTCTTCTTCTGTTCCAAACGGCCACATAGCAATCGTATTCACCTCGTCTGGTCGACAGGGCTGTGGCTTCTTCCAGGCTGACCAGCCGAGATCACTCATCAGTCCCCGAATCACTGCTCGACCACTACTGATCGCCTTTTCCATTTCAGTATCGTTTTCGTTGTCAAGTCTGATCCTATAATCGTCCAAATTCGAGCCGGATGCTTCGAGCAAGCGATTGCGGACCGAAAACAATGTTTGACAGATAGTGCCCAAAACTGTATCGAGAGATGTGTAAATCAACTCATCTTCGAAACTCCATTGTTGCCTGGCTTTGAGGGCTGGCCGGAGGTAGTGTACTCTGCATTGCTCAATAGCATCGGCGGTCCTGTTTACCTCTCTTTGGTCTGTCATGGAAACATCATTGGGTAATGGCGGTGCGTTGTACCAGGTCAATGTGGCAGCCTCAACCTCATCGATGAAATAGTGCGACTGCAACGGCTCGTGCGCCATGAGCGCCAGCCTCTTACTGTAACGAGCGATGATAAGGTCCGCCGCGCCTTGCCAATCCACGATGAATCTCCGAGGCTGACGCAACACATCGTTCAAGTATGCCTTGATATCTTTAAGCTCCTCCAGCGTCGCCGCACCAAGTCTCTTTAGATCTGGACGCCCTACGACGGTGCTGGAGATATTGATGGGAAAGAAGAGCCCCGACACCATTGACGAGAAATCGATCCGTAGTCGATTGGCTCCGACGCCATCGTATCGCTCCCCAACCGCTCTCACAAACTGGAATGTGGCCAAGCCGACGTTCCCCATGATACGGCCTATTAGCTCTGTGCGCATCATACTGACCAGGTCTAAGCCGTCTGCAAAATCGCATTTGATAACCTCAATACCAATCTCAATTCGAACAAAGCCGTCGAAACCCCATTCAGATGCCAGCTTGCACAAATCAAGAGCTCGATGCCATTCGTCCATACCTCGTCCATTGGTGTTGTTCTCGCGAAGGACCAGATCTTGGGAATCGAGTGTGCCCATATCGGTCTTTCCAGCACTCATACCATCAATCAACAAAACTTTGAGGTCGCGATTTGCCTGGTACGTGTGAAAGTAGCCCCTGATATTTACAGGATCGTCATCACCTTTTGGGCCAGCAACCCTACCCAAAGGATCGTTGTCGTTGTTGCTCTTTATATACTCGTTACGACGTCGTAGTTCCTGACGATCCTCTTTCTCTCCAGTCTGTCCATTATCCGCATCTGGCTTCTTTTTGCCAGGAGGAGGTATTGGCGCGATAGGGCGTTTTCCGCCAGGCCTGTACTTGAAAGATCGCGCAAAGTTTTCGGCATGTTCGATATCAAAAGCCAACCACTCGGGCCCAGTCGGTGTCACGTTTTGTCGAGAGCCGTGGTAAAACATGGTGCCTTCAGGTACAGTAGCTGGAAAGAAGCCAAAGCCATTATGATACAAGGCAGAGCCCCATTCTCGACCTGCGGAATTGATCGCATTAAAAACCATATGCGCCCTCTCTTTGGCATACTCATGTTCTGGCTGGATTCGTTCAGCATTGTCATTACCACTCGCGACACCAAGAGCGAGCGCTAAAACGCCCAAAACACCGAATGAGGCCTTTGGAACCATTCTAAAGCGCTGAAATTCTGAAGATTGTTTCCTGTAGAATGAGTCTTACATGACTCCAATGTCAGGATGCCTCACATCAGCAACCCCAATTAGAAAATGTCGCGAACACGTCTTCAGCCGCGCGGCCAGTCACGTCGCAGATCCCGATTAGCCGGTTGCTGCTAACCCACTCCTGCGATCAATGGTCGGAGACCGATCTTATCTGCGTGGAGATAGTTGGATCATCTTGAGATTGATAAGAAACGATTTCCATCGGGGATAGGCCCGCAATTGACCGAAAGCGACCGGCGGAAAATATTCTACTGGCCAAATGATCCAAGTCAGCATTCTTTGGCCATCTGAATGATTGCATTTCTACTCATGGCAACTCACATGACAGCACCGCAGATACTTTCCAGCTTCTGTAGACAAATCGCATGCTTGTGAAGAAAAGCATCAAATGCGAAAGTTGGCGCATCGTAGTAATCGAACTCGTTAAGTTGGGCATTGTGACTTTGGAATGATTGTGCATGGTGTTGAAATGTCCATGAGGCTACCTGGGTCAACCATCCGATAGTTCTTGATCGCGTGTGTTCATGCCATTGATAATTTTTATCAGGGACTTCAGGGACCACGGGCCATCTCCATCCATGATGACTATGAAGCATGAGAGCATAGGGTTATGTGTTACCACACTCATTGAGCAAGGGTAACACTGAGCTTGATGGTATAGGTACATGCAGTACTTGCATCGTCGGTTCCACCGCTCAATGTTCTGCCGCTTTTTCTGTGAAACTCGAGAATCGAAGCACATGTAATCTCTGGCGTCCGGAAGCTCACCCGTCCGCATTGGATCTGTTGGGGGACCTTGTCCGACACATCCAGGACAAAAGCAGATCCAATGAAGGTGTTGCTGAGGCACATGCGTACTGCCGGTAGCGGGATAATTGGCACCTCTACAACCCAACAAGCTCACCGCCGGTCAGCGATCAAGGATGTAAAGCCTCAATTGATAGTTTCTACCATGAAGCTTTGATGCATTGAACAATTGATATCTCGGTAAGGGTTCAGCCATAAGCTCAGGATGCCTGGAAGGTCATCATACGATTGGGAGGGCAGCTGACCGAATCTCGAGACGGTGAACAAATGAGCAAGCCACGATCTGTACAAAGGTCGTACGAAATGCTGTACGTTCGGCGTGGTAACTCATTCAGGTGTCGTTCTTTAAGGAAGCCAGCGCTCGGTGTCAGCTTGGATGTTGTTTCGGGGGATGTTGAGGCTGAGTAATGAGTCGAAGACCCTGCAGCGTGAGTTGAGAAACGTCTGTGGAATTGTTTGTACTCCGTAAAACATGTTGATTCAAATTGTACGCTCGTTCATTGAAGAAGGCGACAGACCCTGGATTGACTTTGAACCACGCCAAGTTCAAGCGGCACCCGCCTGCTTGGAACTGACCTACGTAAGTTGGTATTCAGGCTGAAGATAAAGTAGATAACAATAGAGATAACAAGGAAGAGACGAGTCCCTTGCATAATCGCCTGAGAACTCCATTGCCATGATGCATCGAGATGGTTGAGGATCCATTCCGGGCCATTATCAAGGTCGAGTGGGTGCCCTGGAGGATAGCTTCCCCGGGCCCTGAAAACTGGCCTGGGCTGGCTTTGGCTGGCGGGGGACTCACCGGCGGGTCGGGGGGCTTGTTTCCGCCCGCACCTTCCTGTGGAACACGTCCCCGGGCACTTGCCTCGTGGAACGATGCCCAGGCCTGGCCGCTCAAGCAATTGACGGACCCCACCGACAGCGCGGGGTTCGGCAGCGCTACTTCGTTTTAGGGCCCGTTAACACGTACAGTAGTGTACTTTCTAGGTGACGGCCCAGCAATTGACAGCTGAAGCGAGAGACCAATAAACTTACCCTAGATTTCCGAAAGAAGATATAGAAATGATCTGGTGCCAGCCGAGTGCCAAGGTACAGCATTCTTGGTGGGCCTACAATAAAGCCCCCACAGAATGGAATAGATACAATTCGGAGCAGAGGTTACGTTACTGTCTTACAACTATCCGATGAAGTTCAGGTAAGAATTGCAGAAACTCGGAGAAAGATCTCTAATATTCTCACTGCCTTATGGTCATTTTGAGAGTTACCAGAACAAGCAATGCTCTGAGAGTCCTGTAACATTAATCTTTCTTGTGCAATGTTTATCATTAGCCCGCTTGTCTAACTGGTAACTGGCTAGTCTGGAGCGGGACAGCATTACACTTTGAAGCTCATTACACAACAGCAACTCAATGGACAGTAACAAGAATGAGTGATGCTGTGGCTGCACCCTTGAGTGGCTCACAAACCACACCGAGTCCCTCTTTTTCTTTCTTTCTGCAGTGCTTTGAATGTCACTCGTCGCATCTCATCTTTCCGCTCTTACCTCTTCTCCTCACTTTGTCCCCTTCATCCAAACTTACCAACAGCATCTGAATGCGACGCCGTACCTGCATCAGGCACGTTGGCGGCGCTTAGATTAAATCTTACAATTTTGTGTCTCTAAGAAAGTCGTGATTCATAGCGACTTTTTCTTCTATCTTTCAGCACCAGAATCAAGGTCCACGATCATCCGGTGATCTCATAGCGCATATCAGACCACGTCCTCATTACCTCACTTGGCCCTGCATCTCTCGTTCTCCTGACCCCCCTTTCCGTGATCCCGGGCTCTTCGGCTTTGATAATTTGTTTCGATTCGTGTTTATAGTTGGTAACGAGAAAATTGTTGCCTTGAGATTGAGCTTCTAAGATAAGATATTGCTCAAAACCCGTTGTCAACTGACACGCAGACGGGCCATCGCAGAAGGAGTAGGTGCCACCTGCAGTTTCCTACGCCCGCTCCTGCTTCCATCCATCCCGTGGCTTCGCAACTCACCAAGGCGGCAAGGCGTCATTCAATTTTTCTTTTCTTGCCTCCTCAACCAAACACGAGTCAACGTGATATCACGAAGCATTGCCCAAGCTTCTCCTCGTCTTCCATTCCCTGACACCACTCGTCTCCTCACCTTGAAGAATCATCACCTGCTCGACTTGCTCACCTTGTTTCCTCAAACGTAACTGGCTCTTCACCCCACGCCCAGTCTCTTAACCCTTCCCCGCCCCCGGTCGGCTTCCTTGTCTGTTTGTCTCACACGAGGCCGTCAAGTACAGTACATACATCACAACCCTCGTCAACCTCCTGCAGAGACCCGCGCTGACGGGGCCTCTTTCATTGTCCAGGTACCTCAAACAAGCTTGACCTTGTCTTCCATTCTGCGGATTGCCTGCCTTCCCTGCTCGGTCACTGCCAACACGAATCTCTCAGGGCCCTCGATCCCTCCTACTCTACCATCTCACCCGGGGTGTCTAGGTTTAAGCTGTTGCTATAGCTCCACTACTCTTTCGATCCCGACCTCCTACTCACGACCGCCTTTCTGTCTGTCTGTCTGTGACCTGATCAAGGAGGTGTACCAAGTCTATATCTTGCCGCCCAGCCGCAGTCTTGTTCATTCTCCTCACTTCTTTTACATCCATCCGTAGCTGTTTCACTTGAGCTTTCTTTCTCTTCACGTCACAGAGAGAGCTTCTTCTTTTTTATTTAGCACAATCTGCTACCCCGCCTTTACAACCAATACCCCGCCAATTGCTGCAATTGCTGCCATCATGAGTTCCAACAAGCCTACCCGCAAGTTTTCCACGGGCGCCACGTCGCACCGGAAGAGGCAGATGAGCCTTCTCGTCGAGAAGGATGGTCACGTCAATGCTCCTCTTCAGGTAAGTTTGCTCTTGATCTCCCGTGCTTCCCGTTTTTGTTGTATCATGTATCCCTCATGACAACTTGCGTCATAGCAATTGGAGCTCTTGAGACCCCTGCAATATGGAGACCGAGGTCGATCTCATCTTTAGCACATGAAGCGACTAACACAGCTCAATCGTAGACTTTGTACCTTGGAATCTCTGCCGTTTTCGCCGATGACCATACCGCCGTGATTGCACTTGCTATCCACGACACCGTCTATCTCAATGATTTCTCCATCAAGCACATCTCCCTCGATGAGGATATGCGTGAGGGCCAGGATCTCATTGCCAATCACATCATCAACGAGGTTGAGACTTATGAGCATGAGAACTTTGTCAAATTCATTGGAGCTGGTATCCCCGTCACGCTCAAGTACATGAGTCCTTCTCTGTGCTCCCGTCTTTGGCTTGACCTCGATATTGTACCTGTTGTGCTCCGACCCGACCACGAAGCCAAGGAGAAGAACTTCTGGGACGTCAAGCGCGTCGATGAGCAAGCAGATTCCATGGCCCGCAAGTGTATTCTGTAAGTTGAGAAGGAGGGGATGAATGGTCTCATGAATGGCGACTGACAACACTTTTTTCAGTAACTTTGGACCCTCTCTCGTTCCTCATCTGCAGGTCGGCTACCGCGGCATTGTTCAGACAGATGCCGGTTTCCGTGTTCATCTCACCAACCTCCAAAACCACAAGGACACCTGCTCCAGTGCGACATGGGGTGCCATGCAGTTCTATGCCAACAAGCTCCGCGAGAAGAAGACGAAGATTGCATTCTTCAGTGCTACTCCCCAGGGTGGTGGTGTTGCTCTCATGCGTCACGCTCTTGTCCGTCTCAGCCGTCTCTTGGGTGTTGATGTGACCTGGTATGGTATGTAGAAACACTCCAAAAATGTCAGACATTACACAATTCTAACTCGAATCTAGTCCCCAAGCCACGACCTGGCGTGTTCCGAATCACGAAGAACCAGCACAACATTCTCCAGGGTGTCAGTCACCCCGACCAGCGTATTTCAGACGCGGAGAAGGCTGCTATCAACGACTGGATTGAGGACAATGCCAAGCGATACTGGCTCTCTGAGGGTGGTCCTCTCCGTCCCCCAGAGGAGGGCGGTGCCGATGTCATCATTGTAGGTCAATTGTTTCACAGGCTTGGAACCATGCAAGTTAACAACTGATGTAGATCGATGACCCTCAGATGCCCGGCCTCGTCCCCATGATCAAGAGACTCACACCTGATCGCCCTGTTCTGTACCGATCTCACATTCAGATCCGAAGCGACCTCGTGGCCATCGAGGGTTCTCCCCAGAATGACATCTGGAACTATCTCTGGAGCAACATCAAAGAGACCGACATGTTCATCAGCCACCCTATCCCCAAGTTTGTTCCTCACACCGTTCCCAAGGAGAAGGTTGTTTACCTCCCCGCTACTACCGACTGGATTGACGGCCTCAACAAACACATGAACAAGTGGGATACCGGCTACTACGCTCATATCTATAACCAACAGTGTAGAAATCAGCGAACGACTGAACTAGATTGGCCCAACCGTAAGATAATCTCTCATCAGTTGGTATCAAACAACTAACGCGGACCTACAGGCAAGTACATTGCTCAAGTTGCTCGATTCGACCCTGCCAAGGGTATTCCCACTGTCATCGACTCATATGCTGAGTTCCGCCGCCGTTGTGACGAGGCCAACATTTCCGATGTTCCTCAGCTCGTTGTGTAAGTTAATGATGTCAATGTCAGAACTGTTGCTAACTTTTGCAGCTGCGGTAACGGATCCATTGATGACCCAGATGGTGCCATCATCTTTGACCAGACCATGGCCCAACTTGAAGATCATTACCCTCATCTCCTCGACGACGTCAGCGTCATACGCCTGGACGCCAATGACCAGCTTCTCAACATGGTCATTGCCAATGCCCACGTTATTCTCCAGTTGTCCACTCGTGAGGGTTTCGAAATCAAGGTCTCTGAGGCTCTTCACGCCGGAGTTCCTGTGATTGTCTCCAATGAAGGCGGTATCCCTCTTCAGGTCAAGGACAAGGTCAATGGCTACCTCGTTACCCCTGGCGACTACAAGACCGTTGCTGGACATCTCATGGACCTGTACACCGATCATGAGCTCCATGCCAGGATGTCTCGTGAGGCTAAGAACGGTGTCAGTGACGAGGTCGGCACTGTCGGAAACGCCCTTGGCTGGTTCTACTTGGCTGCTAAGTGTCAGGAGCTGGGTTGCAACCCTGGCCTTAAAGGTGATGAGAAGTGGGTGAATGATATGGCACGTGAAGAGGCTGGTTTCCCCTACACTGAGGGCGAGAATCGTCTTCCTCGTCACTACACACAACGAAAGGTAGAGGAGACGATCCAGGAAAACGGCGAGTAATTTTTTACTGTTGCTCCTTGTCTTAAATTCCATTTTATCCGAAAATGTCTGGGGTAAGAAAAAAGAAAGAGGATAGACCCTTATGTGTTTGCGGTCAAAGGATTGTTAGAAATGTTGTTCATGACTACGATGGGCTTATGTATGAAATGTCGGACCGCATGGTTGGGAACGAATTCCACTTATATTTAGTGTCAGATTTATGTTGAGCTTATGAAATACCATTATTCCTATGTGTACAAGCATTGACTGACGCCGTTCTTTTTTGACGTTAAAGTGAGTGCGAAGGCCTATGTCCCTTTGAGCTGTAATCTCTTGCCAGTCCTTTGGCTGTCTGCTGACTGTGAGAGTCTGCACAGGATCACGCACGGTTCCATTATGCTCAAGAGTAGCTGGGTGGTAATATGAGAGATGAATGCCCAATCTATGCTACAATTTCATGCGTTGACGTGTTGCTTTCTATCGTATTCCACCAATATCACGCAAGGTCGGTACTTGGTACCTAGGTAATCACAGCCTTACCCCTTGGCTGTCATTAACCATGAGCCTTTATTACAATGATTCAAAAGCGTTCACTGGACTGTACTGCGTGGGCTGTCCTGTGTTTGATTGGGTGCCTTCTGAATGGAGAAAACTGGCGCAGTTATTCAGTCGCCAGTGCCAGGCAGGTGTGAGGCAGTCGCGTTTGCGACTCACCTCAAAGGAAGGAACCCAGATGAAGACTTCAGATGACGACACCAACCTGACATGTTTTTGTTTACCTCTCATCATTCTTGAGTTTCTTTTTTCGTTTGTTGTCCCCTTGTCTTGCACAAATTCTTGTGCCACGATTGAATTCAGCTCTTGATGGTCTTTGGGCCATCTCTATCTGCTTCTGGAATCACTTACTTCTTGCAGACCTTTTTCCAGTCGGGAAAGCTCTTCGACTAACTGATTGATCATGTCTCCTCCGGGCTCGGGTCAGTCTGTTCCACCCGCGGCTGAAGTGACCACGATGAACCCTGAACGGGTTCGGATGCTCTCTGAGGCTCCTCGAGAGAAATCTCCCAAACCAGCACCTGTGGTCAAGAGAGAGGAGTCTTGTGTTCCTTTCAGGGCCACAGGCGCTAATGGAGATGCCTTGGGTGACTGGTCTCTCCGTTCCTCCCGAGGCTCGCAGAAACATGATGGGGGCTCCATCAAGCGGTCCATCAGCGAGCTCATGATTGAGGCTAAGGAGAAACGTGGGCAGCAGGATAAGAAGCCAAGAATCGGTCCAGTCAAAAAGCACTACACCGAGGTTGAGTCTCTTGGTCATGGTAAGCAAGGATGCAAATGATTGCTGGTTCAAAAGGGCTGATTGAATGCGTAGCTCCTCTGCCGGACGATTCCACCCATTACCTTACTTCACTCCTCCGAAACCGAACCTTGAACCTCTGCTTGCAGGCCGCTCCCAACAAGAAGAATGATGCTCCTGGTAAACCCAAGACATATACCTTTCTCATCTCCAATGCTGGAATGGTCCAGCATGAGAAGCTGTCCATGCTGGGCCATACTCGAGCTCTCCCTCTGTCTCTTCATGATCAGGACATTTCTTCCTCAGACGGTGCCATTACCCGTACCGCGATCGGCGAATTGCTCGAGTATGTCTGGCCTAAACTCACAAAGAGTGACAAGTATTCGTATGCCAGGCAACTCCGCAACCTCCTCCACAAGATGCGGCATGAGAGCAAGCAGGGGTCAAATTATCCCCTAGGGTCTATCAATTCAGGAAAATACAGTTTGCTTCAAGATAAGCATCCTGACCATACCTACTACGCAATTCGTACAAAACCCAGCCAGAAGCAGTTCATGGCACTTCTCATGTCAACTTTGTATGAGTCGGTGCCGAAACCTGTGGCCAAGGCCTTGATCACTCAATTTCGCACTGATTACCCTTCAGTGCTCACCCATGGAGCCTTGTGCCCCAAGAACATTGTTGTCTCGAACAACACTATCAGCTGGATCCTTGGTTGGGACTGTGCAGGACAGTATCCTGTTTGGTGGGAGTATGCACGGTTCTTCGAGGCGAGAACTACTGAGGCGAACAGTGATTGGTACAGTTACGCAGCTGAGATCTTTGAAGAGGAGTTCCCGGCTGAGTTGGCGGCTTATCAGGGCATTGCGAGATGCCAGCAGCCCTGATCTTGGAGGCCTTTGACATGGCGATTTTGTTTGCGCAAGCTGAAAAGCAACATTCTGTCTCGCCAGGGCGTCTAATGGACACAACGCGCGACGGAACTGAGAAGTAAACGGTGTACCTTTCCAGCAATGGCCAATTTCTATATCTTGAAAGATGCACGGGCTGACTGATCAGGAATGTGGGGGGATCACGGTTCCCAGTATGGGATGCATTGCCTCAAGTAGAACGTGGGCCACACATTGAAGCATGGATGTTTTGGGCGATTGTTTCTAATTTTTAATAAAAGTGTAAAAAGTAACTAGTCTCAAGTCTTCCTAAGTTGTACCAAACTTACCCAAGTCTTTTCATTATTTGGGATATACCTAGGTCTTAAGTAATCTTGCTTCCTAGGAACCGCGTACATGTACTCTTTTCAGATTCTTTTATTAAACCTCGAGATACTATACACTCGGTATCTTGACAAACAAACAGATTGCGCATGGTCACGAAACGTCGACCTTGGTTGCGTACAGTACAAGTTATCGCTATTTTTCTTCCTTTGCCTCTTTCAAGCTTTACAACTTAGTTAACGAGAACAGATTTACTTCTCGAATCGCTTGGAAACAGTGCCCCAGTTAATGACCTCCCAGATGGCGCTGAAGTACTCAGCCTTACGGTTCTGGTACTGGAGGTAGTAAGCGTGCTCCCAAGCGTCAATACCAAGGAGAGGCTCGAGGGTACCAGTGACGGGGTCCTGGTTGGGTCGGGTAACAAGGGACAGAGTGCCAGAGTTCTTGTCCTTGACGAGCCAGGCCCAGCCGGAACCCTGAATACCAGCGAGGGTAGCGTTGGTCTGCTTCTTGAAAGAGTCGAAAGAGCCAAAGTCCTCGTTGATAGCAGTCAGAAGCTTGCCCTCAGGCTCACCGCCACCGCCCTTGCCATTGGGAGCAAGGTTCTCCCAGAAGAGAGAGTGGTTAACGTGGCCACCGCCGTGGAAGTTGATCAGAGGAGCTTGAGCAGCAGCGGCCTTGGTATCGTTCTTGTGCTGAGCCTCGGCGAGGGCATCGGTAGCGTTGTTGAAGCCGGTGACGTAGGTCTGGTGGTGCTTGGAGTGGTGAAGCTCCATGATCTGACCGGAGATGTAAGGCTCAAGAGCGCCATAGTCGTCTGGGGATTGTTAGCTGTGGATGTCGAAGATTGTGAGAGTGTGAGAGAATGTACAGGGAAGGTCGGGAAGGGTGGCCTTGTTGCGGACGAAGCTGGTTGTAGCCATGGCGGCGAGGGGAGTTGAGCGGGCGCGCAGACCGGCGCGGAGGGCGGGAGTTGAACGGAGGAGAGCGGAAGCCATTCTGAAGCTGTTGATATTAGCAGTGCATCCATCAATTAATTGGGTTTGAAGGTAAGAATTGAACAACAAGAACAGAGCAAATTGTTTGACAAGTGCTTGATAGATAGTGAAACAATTGGAAAGGAACTTACAGTATTATAGGCAAACTTGTGATTGTGCAATTGACGGTGATGTCGAAGAGAATTGAGTGGAGGGAGGGGTTGGTTAAAGAGCTGATCGGGACGGCAATGTCGGGTCTGCCGAATGGGAGCTTGGATCAATCTGTCGTCATATTTGGGAGAGCTTGACTTGATCTGAGGCTTGGTTTTAGTGGCTGGTGCTGTGGCTTTAGAGAGTAAAACAAGCTGGAAGATGTTGGGTTACAGTATCTATTGTGTTCTGGACATTTCCTTTCTCAGCCTGATAATATGATCTGACTCGATCTATCGATAATATTGTTTCCATTTCATTCTTAAACCTCATAAGCTTGATTTTCCTCTGTTGAATGAAGCTGGTGTAGCTCAACTAACATCACCATCATAATCATGAACTTTCAGGTTGATCAGCTCGGTCTTCTCCAAACACCGAACAGCGATATCAATCACCAGATCTGTTCATATACGTTCTTCAAATCAATAACCCGAATATTCCAGTGTCAATCTCCCATTTCTCCGAGATCGCCGATCTCGGACTACCGAGCTCTGAGATGCGAATGACGCAAAAAAAGGGCCTCGTGAGTTAGCGGGTCATCATGCATGCAACGTCGGTTAGGTATGGAATCAATTGTGACATTCTATTCCTAGACCAATGGATGAGAAGCTGTTGGTTATTTGTTTTTAATGACAATGGGACGTGGCATGCTGCAGGGTAGTCAAGTTGACGATTATGTCATCGGCGCGTCGAAGTGATTATCGCCAATCCACTCTACGCGTCTCCCTCAAGCATACACAGAAAGTTGAACACAGTAAAAATGTCGTACTACGACATTGACGCCATCCTCACGGATGCAGAGGTATTACTCCCACACCAAATACTCGGCAATCATGAATGTAGAGCTAACAATTTGCAGAAAGTCCCATGCCATTTCGAAATCGACGTTCGTGATCTCGGCCATCTCGACAACTCCCCCCACGGCCTCAAAGCCCAAACACCCCTAACCCTCCCCCTCTGGCTCGCCGAAATGCTCGCCCTCGCCTCAACACCAAACTCCTCCGCGCCTCTAACCCTCAACCTCCCACCGTGCCTCTCAACAACCGTCCTCGCCGCTTTAAAAGCTGATCCCCGCGCCGTTCCCCTCCGAGATCAAAGTCCTCACTTCTACGGCGTCGGCGTCAAAATGCTAGAGTTATTTGATGAGAAGGAAATAGCGGAGGTTTTGAGAAAAACGTTTGTTGTGAGGGCGGGTGAGGTTGGTCTTCATGCGAGAAAGGCGGATGAGGCGGTTGGGGGAAATGGGGAGGAGTTTTTGAGGGGTTTGGAGGAGTGGGAGAGGGGGTTGTTTAGGAGGGGACACGAGGGTGTGAAGGGGGCGAAGGAATGGACTGGTAAGGTTAAAAAGACTTGATGAGTTGGAGGATTTGAGATACCCATAAGTTGCAGTGAGGCACTACGCGTCTACGAACACAAATACAAAAAGGCATGAACCAGATCTTCAGTTTCGCTTCACAGTTGAGAGAATGTCCAGGGATAAAAGCGTGCATTTCCAGCACGGTCTATTACTGACTCTGACTCCTACGCCTTGAAGCCAGCCGAGGTTCTCCTATCCGTAGGCAAACGGTACTAATCCATCCAACCGCTCAGTAATGTTCCAACCGAACGGAACGACAAGCCCGGCATTTCCCAGCATGCCCTTCAGATTCTACAAAAACCCCAATAGTTATAGTTATCTCCCTGAACACCATTTCCTAACCCTTCTAAGAATGCAACGCTGAGCGCTGACAATTCCCAATGAAAAAACGCCATGCTCGGAAGCTCCCTCATCCTGTCATGTACAGGATAGAAAAAGGCAATAAAAATGCAACCGACTCCTCTTTTTCCTCTCCTGGGAAAATCTCCCACCAGTTACCGTACCCGGCCCAGTATATATCGTAGCCACGCGACGAAGCACTTTCGATCGCGTCGAGAATAAACGTATAGGTGTCGCACCGCTCAAGCGGCCGAACCTCGTTTGGCCGCCCATCTAGGGACACTGCCAAGTTTGAAACGTATCCACCAGTTTAGTCTGTCAAGGGACTCGCTGAAAATAAACCAGAGAAAAGGTTGTAAATATCGACGCCGTGACGGTAAAGAAAAAGGAAGTTGAAGAAAAGAGTAAAAAGTTGAAAGAAATAAAAAACAGCAGCAATCATAAAGCGGGCTCTCCTGAAAATCATTATGTGTGAGAAGGCAAATCGAAACATAAGCAAGAGGATCCTTGCCATAGAGAGATTTGTGCGTGTTCACCAGAACAGCACACCGAGCGAGGGGTGTTAGTCAGATGAGCCATTATCGTATCGGCTCATCTTGGACTCGGGCTCGGACGCGTGGGTTTTTTTGGGTTTTCTTCTTTATGCAATCCTCATCCCTTGAGGCGCGAGGTGCTGAGAAACGACTCGACTTTGAGATCGATATCGGTAGAGCACGTCAACCGGTGGAGCAGGGATAACAGCGATTCAAGAAGTCGACGTTCATCATCGTTGCTCATGCTCCAGAGATTCAAGCTGCCCAGAGGGCATTGTCAGTCATACTCATGTGAGACATGTCCTGAAAGGTGGCAGGGGTGATGGTGTTGGTAGATGAGAGATTAGAGCCATAGGCTGAAGTGGCATGCTCGGAGAAAGCATAGTTGTCAGCAAGGCTAATGGGAGACCCGTTGAAGGGGGAGTAGCCGAAGTTGCCAGAGGCAGATGAGATGGGAGCGGGAATGCCAAGTTCGCCATTGACACTAGCCATCATGGCAGGGTCAGCGGCACTGTCGACGGCAAGATCGTAGCCAGTCTCCATGTTAAAGGGTGCCATGCTGCTGCCAATACCTTGGAACATGTCCATCTGAGGAGGCATGCCAGAACCGTCCATGTTGTCATCGCCCATCTCATCAGCATCGTCCTGCTCAGGCATGGGAGAGTCATTCAGGTCAACTTTGACCTTCTTCTCAACGAACCAAACCTTAAGTTCACTCATGGGAGGCCAGTCACCACCGCCCTTGCCGCCACGCTTCTCATCACCGTTAGCACCCTTCTTGCCACGGGGAGTCTTGGGCTTGAAGTGGGTGCGTCGAAGATGAGCGGCAGCGTTGTAGTAAGCACCATACTCCTTGCCAGAGACGCATGCCTTGCACTTGGACAAGGGGTTGACAGCCTTGACTGCGCTCTCGATGCCAACAGTAGCTGGGTCACGACAGACGAACTTCTTGACAGTACCCTCGTGCTTGGCGTTGACGTGTCGGCGAAGCTCATGGTCACCTCGGAAGCCATCGGGATGCTCAGTACACTGTGTGCAGTAGACCTTGGGGTGCTTAGGTCGCTGGTAGTTGCTCTTGTTGACAGGAAGCTTGGCCTCTTTGTTGGCAGCGACAACAGCTTCAGTCTTGGCTAGCTCCTCCTTGGGCTTCGGGGCGAGTTGGATAGTCTTGCCTGAGTGAAGGACACGCTCACGAGCTTCCTTTGCGCGTCGCTCAAGGTTGGACGCATTTGATCGAACACTAGACATGCTGGTGTT